CATCCGGCTACTTAAGGGTTCTGTTGTCATACGAACTTCCCACTACAGTATGAATGAATCCTCTATCCCTGCGCATCACCATACATAGAATTGATCGCAGAGAATAACAACCATATTTTGTATCAACAGTTAAATGGCAGAAAACTATGTGACAGAGGTTTTGTTTCAATATATCATCCCTACAAGGGTCATTATTTTACATGTCATCGATGTGAAAAGTTATTCTTAAAGGTGTAGCACTTACTGCTACCGTTTTGCAGACAATCTTTAATATAATCTTTTTATAAATTAGATTTCACAAGAACCAAAAGATGCCTTTATTCTGCCTAATGCATTAGACATCTTCACGGATAATGCTTCGTCTTCTTGACAGACGTGAATGATTTCATGAATATAAGTTAATAGCACAAACAGGGTCAATCGATCAGCCGATGTTCCATCCGTATCGCAACCTCTCTGCAGACGGTCGACAGCCACGATGCTTCAACGGAATGTCTTTGGACAAGTATAATTATAAAGGGTAGTGTAGCCCCACTCCATCCATCCGACTTTATAACAGAAGTTGTTTTCTCGAATATAGTAATAACAGTAACATACAGATGTGTACAAAAACCGACTTCGTCCAATCAACTTCTACGGCAAGGAGGTACATGTCCCACGCACCGTCGAATAACAGGTATTGTGTCCGATACGTGATTGATTGCGTTTGATAAGGTGATTGCAGACGCATATATAAGGCACAAAAAAACGCAGTAGAACAGCTGAAAGGAAAAAGGTCGAGACAAAATAGGAGTCCCGCTTTTCATGACGCAGTCTCTGATACTCTGTTACTGCTGCTTGAGCACATGATGTGAAAATCACCAGAAAACCAAGAGTGACCCTTGCAACATTCATGAAGAGAAATGACAAGAATAGCTTTCATAAATGGTTTTCATTTTATACTCTGCAAATCGAGGACTCTCTCTCGAATTGAACAGCGTCAGCTGTTACTAATAATTAAGAACAAGAAAATGATGTCTCGAATGTAAGCTGACGAGTTAGTAGCCATCTACCGTAGGAAAATCCAGTTTTGCTCTGTACTGTATTTTTAATATGATTATCAATGCAGAACATAGTACACATGGGAAAGAAAAAAGGTAACTTTAAATTCTTTGCCGAAGGAAGCAAACTATTACGAATGTACCGTTCAATGGTTTATTATTAGTTGATATAGTAAACAGCAACAAATATTTGCCCTATAGGTTCAGTTTTGAAGTTGCTACACGCAAATGACTTGTTTAACATCTATCATTTGATTACACGAAATAGATCCATCTGCATCGGAAGTCACTTTGCTGTCATTAATTAGTACCCGAGGTGAATATGCCTCTTGTGCTTCGCTAGATCGCACCACTATTCATCTTT